GGTTCTCAATAACATACCTAACGTTTTTATCTAAACGTGTTGTGAAGTGTTATTTGAAGATGTATTTGAAGCGTTAACCTAACATTTCCAGTTCCATGATCTTTTTTTTAAAGCAGCTACATATTCAAAACAAAACCGTTCTGAGAGTCAGTGAGATTAAGTAGTTTGGTCAAGATTACTCATTAAGTGTCAGAGCTTGGAATCAAACCTGTGTCTGAGTTGGAAAACTTCCTTGCAACTACTCTGCTTCGCAGCTTTTCTCAATTGTAGCACTAAATTGTTGATCAGGGCCCAAACGGAGGATACTTCGAATCATCATGGCTCGTTATTAGTCTCAAAATATTTTTCTGGCATTTACATTATGTTTGATTATTGATAACTCAAAGCTTAGCTTCATAAAATGTGGGGTAATGTGCCCTCATGTAATAATATGATGTTTTAAACTTTGCTGTGGTTTCTGAGGAAAGTTCGCCACATAGCGAATCGATCTTTTTCTGTTTCTTTCTATTTTCTCTCTCTTGGCATTCTCGTATAGCTAATATATATGTCTATGTTACGTGAATAGGTGTACATAAAATTAGAACACCGTAAAAAGGAAATAGGCTACCTGAGATGTTAAATGTTAGAAGCATGCTACAAATCAAATATTAGAACCAAATGAAATGTGAATGATAGTTTGATGTATACCTTATGATGACATGAGAACTTGTGAAATTATTGGAGTTTTGTCCTCAAGTATTTTAATCTCAAACTCATTATGTGTGAAGCACTAGCTGGAGTCCAGGGTAACGAAGTAGAATGTAAAACATTTAAGATGTGTCCTGTTCCTATCGTGAAGAAGCTCATAGTCTGGTAAATAGAGGAAAACCCGATCGAAAAAGAAAATTAACAGTAGCAACATAACATTTTATGATGCAATTTGTGATGCATTTCAAATTAATTACAGCTGCTGTAGGAATTCAGGAATAGGAAGAAAGACATCTGAGTTGATCGATGGTTGATCTGTGGTTTTTAAAGGAATTTGCAATAGGTGAACACAAGTAATAACATATCATTTTACTATTTTCCTATGGGCAAAATTTCTAGATGTCCAGAAGTATTTAATGGCCAGGTTGCCTAGTTCAACTGTTTTTTCCATGGTTACAGCAGAAACATACAAGGGTGTGATTTTTTTTTTTTTCCTTTTGAAATACAATCTGTTTTAACTATGGAAACATCTGTCATTATAAAGAAGCGTGTAAGGTGATATAATCTGCTTTGTCTGTATGACATACAAGGTTCCTTTTTGGTCTGATTTCTGCTTACCTCACCAGCCTAATCTCTCATTGCTTCTCTCAGGTACTATTAGCCAGCTCCTCCAAAGTTTCCTGTTCTCTTTTGCCTCCTGGGCTTTGGGTATGTTGTGCCTTCTTGGATCACTGCCTCATTACTTGATTGTCTTCTCCTCATCTTTTCAGGCTTAGATTATATATATATACATACACACACCTACAAATATGTATATAGTATACATAATGCACATGAATAATATACATAGTAATGTAAATCTGTATATATCTCCTTGGTTTAGGAAGCCTTTCACTTGCAAAAACTGAATTTGATACCCCTCCTGAATGTTCCTATAGCATTCTGACTTTACCTAATCCCCACCATAATTTCCAATTTGTCACTAGGTAGTAAGCAAGCTTCCTGAGCTCAGAAATCTTAACTGTTTTTCCCCCCACTGCTGTATCCTCAATGCCCTCATGCATTTGCAATAAATATTTGTTGAGTAGAAAAATCTCCTTAGGGTTAGGCCAATCACCTTTCAGGTGTTTCATAAATACCATCTAACAGATATGTTTATTTCATTAAAAAAGTTGTATTGATGGTTCTGAACTGTTTTAACTGAAGATAATATAACCATCTATGTGAACATCTTGGAATACAGTGAAGTAGTTTCTGTACAGTGAACATATTCATCTTAGGGTTTTAGATTTTCCTTCATGTTCTTTTATGGAGTGTGCCTATTGATACTGCTATACCAGCTATTTTTGGTTTATGTGTGAGGGAATGTATTTGTATGTTACATGCTTTTCTATACCTGTATTTTTATTGTGTTTTTGTTTTTAGGTCTGTCTCTTGTAAGCCACATTTCTCCAGGTTTTATTTTACTTTTATTCATTTTGATAATTTCTGCTGCTTTTAGTAGGTTGTTTTGATCCATTTACATTTATTACAATTACTGATATATTTGGACTTATTTCTACAATTTTTGTGTGTTGTTTTTTTCTTTTCATGTGTCTGCCTTCAATTGGATGAAGTTTTTACTTAATTTTTCCTCTGCTTTTTTAAATGCTGTAGATTATATTTCTGTATATTTTTTTGGTGTACACTATTAGGTATTTTGGGTACATATTTAATTAAATTTTGCCAATAAAGTCTAGAGTTAGTTAGCCTTTTTTTTTTTTTTTTGGCCTATTTATGTCCAAGTTCTTAGCATGTTTTAACTATCAATGAAACATTCCCTTATCCAGCTTATTGTTTTTTAGAAGTTGAGTTTTACATTTTTTAAACCCTCAGAAATTAGCTTTTAAATGATTAATAGTTACCATTCTGTCAATCTCTAGTAATTTGCTTTGTGTAGCCCATGGGTCCCCTCTGTGTCTATTTTTCTTCTTGATGAACTGCATTTTCTAATAGCTCCTCAATAGGTGGTAAATTTTCTTAGCCTTTATATGTCTAAAGAATCCTTTTCTTTTATTCGTGAATGATGGTTTGGCTGCATATAAAATTCTACAGTTCTTTTTCCCCAGCTTTTTGAAGATACTACTTTTTTGTCTTCTGACCTTTATTACAGCTTCTGAGAAGTGGGCTGTCATTCCATTGAAGTAATCCGTTTTTGGTTTTTTTGTCTTTTTTCTCTGATAGCTTTTAAGATTGTTTTTGGGGTACCTGGGTGGCTCTGTTGGTTGAGTGTCTGACTCTTGATTTTGACTCAGGTTATGATCTCATGATTCGTGAGATCAAGCCCTGCGTGGGGCTCTATGCTGGCAGCATGGAGCCTGTTTGGAATTCTCTCTCCCTCTCTCTCTGCCCCTCCCACCCTTTCTCTCTCTTTCTCTCACTCTCAAAATAAACTAAAA